TTGTAATTATGAATTCTATATTCACAAATATTTTTTATTTGGGGCCCCACACTTATTTTCTATGGGTCCTACATGATTTTTTTTGTTGGACAACCCACATTAGATTTTAGTTTACAAGAGGTATGTAATATATATATATATATATATATATGAAATCACTGTTCATTCAGCTGTAGATGAACACTAACCATATCCAATTTACACACACACACATTTTCATATTAGTAAGAATTCAAAACTATGTCCCATGAGAAATAAGTCAAATCTTTTTTTTTTTTTTGCCATAAACCAAAAGATAAACATTAACCATCAAAGGAGGAGCCAGTTTGATACAACAGTAAACATAAAAGAAACAAAAGGAAAGGAATAGTTAAAATGATACAAGAAAAAGCAAGGTGCAAGTAAGGGAAATCCTGATGCTAAATCCTAAATAAAACAAGGACCTTATTTAAGAGAAGAATAGAGACTTGGATGCCCATGTTCGACGAGCACTTCTTTCGAGCCACAACTTGATCAACCCAAAGTATAGTTTGGCAAAGATACCTTGAGATCTATGAAAAACAACACATGTTTAATGGTTTATCAAGATTTAAAATAAAATCCATAAAGGTTGAATAATCTCATATAAGACAGAATACTTTACAGCTGACAAGCTCAACCAAAAGGGAAAAAAAGCAACAATATTAGGATTAAAAGAGCTCCATACACATACACCATATCATCTTACATAAGAGACGAGAACAAGTCCTCCATAATCCTACTAAGCTTAGCCACAATAAAAAACATCAAAATATTCATACCAAGGAGGCACCCATGGCATATCATCATTGATTCTACTAGCATTTAAGCCTAAAGGAACAAGCAAAAACAAGATCGCATAGCAAAAAAGTACTCCCCACAAATAAATCTAAAGACATCTCAACCAAGAGGTGGACTTGATCAATCTCAAAGTTTATGATAGAAAACTAGATAAAATCACCAAATTAAAAAAACAGGGTTGGAAAGAATATACCAGAGAGGGAGGTCATAGTCCTTCCAATGTTAGGTCCTTGGCTATTCAAAATTACTTATCTCTATAGTCACAATATAATGCCTCTATAGTTCCCAACCATTTGTTTTGAAAACAATAAGGAGCCAGAATCCTCCATCATCCATATAATTCCTACACAAATTAGCCACAATGCTTTCAATTCATCATTAATCCCCATTAATCTTATTGTGGATTCAAGAATTCCCAACTTCAATTTTTCCCTCTTCATTGATAAATCCACCCATGTCAGATCCTTTACCATCCCTAGATTGTAAAAATCACCAACCCAAAATCTCATCTTGCTAAAACTAGCTTGAATCAATTGCTCTTCTCACTTTTGGCAAATTGCGTTTGTCTTACTGTTGCCAACCACCAAAACCCCCAACCCATCATTGCTGCAAATTGCTTCCATCGACTTCCCTGCTTTAACCCAACTACTCAATGAATCACACCCACCTAGCAAAAAGCCAAGAAGAGAGGTCCAAAGGCCAAACTACAAGGCTGTGCCAAAAAACTCCCAAGCAAAGAGGAGAAAGAGCCTTGCATGAAATAGGGAAGGGTTGAAACTCTAGTAGAGACATAGACCTGTGGGGTGCTAATAAGCACACCAACACTTATATAAGTCACTTCCTTATTAGTTAATCTAATGGCAGACCAATTAGGTGATAAAGTACTCTCTCTATTTAAAAATGTAAGACATTTTTTGATGAGTTGAATGTTAAAAATTACAAGGTAATTTTAATTTTTTGATATATAATCATTGCCTTTTTTTTTTCTTTCAAAAGTGTCCCTATTGATAGTGACTTTATATTTGTTATAAGATATTTAATAAGGATAAATATGAAGAGATAATGTTAGTTTGAAAGTAGATAACTATTTTATTGGGAGTGAGATTCGGTTAAAAATGTTTTACATGTTTTAATGAAGGGAGTAATAAGTTTTAGAATTAGACCAAATAAGTCAAGATCATAATCTTCTTATTACTATATCAAGAGGCATTTTGTTTAAATTAGTTGATGAAATTGAATCATCTTATCCTAAAGTATTGAGTTCAAGTTGAGATATATTTATAACTCTATCATGGATAACAATGATCCCACATAACAAATATTAAAATTAATCTAGATGGGTGGTGGTTAATTTTTCATGATACTGGGTGATGAAATGCAAAAAGAAAAAAATCTTATTAGTATCACTGTTATTGCTGCTATTACTGATTATTATTATTATTATTATTAATTTAAAAAAGCAAATGAAAAGTTGAATGTAATGCAAATAATTAATAAGAACAAATATGTTTCAAACTTTCTGCTGTTGTGGTTGGATTTTCCAAGGTGAACAACGCACCCCATCTCCAGCCTCAATTAAATAGTTTTGAATATCTAAAAAGCCCTCGAGACTGCAACTCTTTTCGACACCTTTTGGCTGCGTTATAAAATCAAGTCAAAGTTATTATAATTAAAAACTTTGTTAATTAACAGCTGATATCAATGTTTTAATATTCGTTATATACATATTTATGAGTACTGTTAGTAGTTTTTCACCAAGTTGTAATATCAAACATTAAAATAATATTATGTTTGAAAAATAGTATGTTCGAACAACGTTTCATATTTAATCTAAACATATTTAAAAGATTTTTCACATTCAAGTGATGTAATATAAAAAATCTTAACATCTAAATTAAGGTTTGATACACCCGTCAATCATTACAACTATGGGCTCCTCTAATTTAATTACCGTTTTCATGGCAAATTAGTCCCTTTTGACATTTGCTTCAGTAACAGGATTAATAGGGTCATTAATATCCAACTTAATCCATTTTAGATTGGTTTGATCCAATTGAATTGCCAGATAAAATTTCGCCTACCAGCTAGCCTATCAACGTTTGAATTGATGAATTTAAATAATATAAAATTTTTTAAATACAAGAGAGATTCGAAAGAAAGTTGAGATGAAATGAGAGCGACAAGTTTGTTTCTATTCTTCAATTGAATTGATGAGAGGCAAGAACAAAAGATGAGATGAGAGTTAAGAGTAAAAGACGGATTGATAGTGAAAAGTAGAGAAAATGAGAAGGTTATATAGTTGAAATTTTAAATAACGATATATAATGAGAATTGAAATTTTAAAAAAATTATAATAAAGCATGAATTTTAATCAAATTAAAATTCATAAATTTTTATATGTATAAATAAAAGATTTAATTCAAATTTAAATAGATTAAACATTAATTATTTTTGCCCAGAAAATACATGCTTTCAATCACTTCGAATACGGAAGAAAGTTTGTACTCAGGAATTTATTGCTTTCCTTCTTTTTTGACTTTTCTGATTTGTGTGTGTAATTTTTTTTTATCAGCAATAAAATGGACTTTTTTTTTGGGGGGGAAAAATCACTTCTAATACAGAAGAAAGTTGTCGGCCAGAAAAAAAGGAAACAAAAATGAATCATGGGAGTTAGGAAAATAAGAACGACGATGCTTTTGGTTCCGTGGAGGCAAAAAAAGGTTAAAAACTTCAACAATTTCCTTCTTCCTCTATTTCTTAGTACAATCTAATTTGGTTTTCTCGTCCAACCATTTTTCGGGTGAGTTGCATTTTTCATTATTATTATTAATTACAAAGTTATATCCAAAATCCAAATCTTTTTTGGGTTAAATTTTGTGGTAAAATTATATATTATTTTGAAAAGATGAGAATAATGCGGTGAAGTAGATAAATTCGATTAGGTGGCTATCACATGCTGAAGAATGAAGAATTATTATTTTTAAACTAATTTATTTCAAAAAAAAAAAGGAGGGAAGATGATGGATGGGAACAAAGAAGAGTTACAGTCCAACGAAATGGCGACACGTTTTACTCAACCCCATTCGTAAGCGAAAATGACGTGACGTGATAGGCTTCGCTTCAATTCAACAAATTCAGATGCAAGTGCCTTTCTCCACATGATTTGTTTAATTCCTTTTCACAAAACAAAGAAAACAAAAAAAAAAAAAATCACAAATCCTCGCAATCAAGACCTAATCAATTTAATAATCTTCGTAACTTTACCTGTTTGGTTGGAGGGAAGGTTTTAATAAATTTGATTTAAAAATGAACAAATGAGATTCTAAAATTTTTAAGAAAAATATAAGATAAAAAGGCGAATAAAATTAATTAATTTTTTTAACTCTACATATTCTTTTTTTAATAAATCAAACTCGTCAAAATATACTGTTTTCTCTGTTTTGCTTAACCAAAGCACCAAACACATGCCTGTAGAAATAAACGTTTCCAACTTAATATTCTTTTCTTTTTTTGTTCTGTTCAGAATTTACATTATTTTTTAAAAGGGCCTTAATTTCAATTGGTCAAAAACACTAAGAAAGTTGAGAGCTAAGTGTAAGTTTTATACTTTTTCATATTATTACACTATCCAATAAAATATTGCATGAGAATCATATTTACAATTAGCACCAAGTAATTGGTTTCTCTTTTTTAAACAAAATTGATTTACTTATTTTGTTAATAAAAAGTATAATATTAATCAACCTCAAATTGACATAATGGTAAATAATTGAGAAGAATCTTTTCTTGGCGGTGTAGGTCAGACTCCTTCATTCATTCCTTCCAAAGAGGTCCTGTGCCTCCTCTTATCTTACCAATATTATAAATAAAATAGAATATGTAATTTTACAATTAATAAGGATTAATATGTCTGTCAAATTATTTTTTTATAAATCATTATTAATATATAATAAAAAATTGCAAGGTAAACTGTTCATAAAATATGAAATTCGCTTAAATTTTGGTGTGTTGTACAAGTAAATGTATCCAGTTGATGAGAATAATTGAAGTGTTCCTTATGTTATATTATAGTATCATTAAACCATCGTCACTCATTTTTTAAAAACACTCAAAGTCTCTGTCCTCGGTTGGCGTTGACTATTCTCACTGAACTCTCACACAGAAACAGGGTTATTTAACTCAGTACTCCTATTATTTCTATTTATAAAAGGGTCGAGCTAAAGATGGAGCTTTGAGATAAATCGTAACAAGAATCTCATCATGAAGAAGCTAGAAGCTCGTGTCGTCTTCTTCGTCCTGTTCTTCCTGCCTGGTCTGTTTGCATCTGGAAGCCATGGAAGCAAGCAGAGTCATCACAGAACCGCCTTCTTCATCTTCGGAGATTCCCTGCTGGACGCAGGAAACAACAATTATATCAACACGACAACTCTGGACCAGGCCAATTTCTGGCCTTACGGCGAGACCTACTTCAACTTCCCCACCGGCAGGTTCTCTGACGGCCGCCTCATATCGGATTTCATAGGTAACATCATCAGTTTGCAGATCTTGATGTGTCTTGCTCTGCTTTCAGCGGACTAGGAATTGATTTGATTGTGGGATTGGTACGGAATTGTGGGATTTGGTTTAAATAAGGTCTAATTTTGTTGGTGGGTGTTGTGGATGAAGCTGAATATGCGAATCTGCCATTGATTGCGCCGTTTCTGCAACCTGGGAACAGGGACTACTACAATGGAGTCAATTTTGCTTCTGCTGGTGCTGGTGCTCTTGTTCAAACCTTTCAAGGTTCGGTAAGTAAATTCCTTTCATTCAATTTTTCAAAAAAAATTAATATAAGAAAAAATATTTAACATGTTTTGGTTTTAGTTCTATGTTCATTTTTTTTTGGTTGCTTTTAATTATTCAAGTTTCATTAATATGTGATGTTAGTCCTTGTCGTACAGAGTTAAACGTGTGCATGACAATGTTAATTTTCTGCTTGGATGGTAATATTATGATGAGTTAAACATTATACGAACAAAATGATTATTCATCTTTTTGCTTGTCCTAGTTGTCACATTTTCTTCATTCTAAGCTTTAACCATCATGCTTTTGAGCATTCTAATTTAATACCATGCTTATCTCTTTTTGTCTTTTACTTATTTTTTATACAACTCAGTATTGTTTTAACAAGTTAGCATGAGAAGTATAGTGTTTATGTATATATGGTATCTACCGTTAAATTTTTTAGTTATATTTAAATATATAGATACTAATACTGGTTTATATGGATGAAATTTGAGGAACTAAGAATATTGGGAAAAACAGAAACTAATACCAAAATATGTTAAAATTATAGGCAACATCGGTTACATTTTACCTTAATTTGATCATGTCTTTCTAGTTAACACTGCTAAACTTTTTTCCGCCATAAAACTACGAAGCCTTTTCTTTTGACCTGATAAAACTACTGGACCTTAAATCATACTATTTGCAGTATAGTAAGAGAGAATGTGCAATATAAAGTGAAAGAACGGTTATAAAGAGCCTGGGAATATGAATAAACTATGTCCTTTTCATCTTTTTCTTTTTTTAAATCTTAGGACTAATATTTAAGACATATGTAATAACTCATTTAGTTTCATACTTTTGATATTAAAGTATATCATAATTAAAAATATTCGGTAAAATTTATACACAAAAAGCATGGATATCTTTTCCCTAAGCACTATTAATTCATTTTAAAAAGATTTTCGTTAAAATTGATATGCTCATACCGTCATTAATTACTTGATACTGATGATATCAATATTAATATTGATATTTATAAATAATATGTTGTAATAACATGTGAAGTTATCACCTTAATATATGCAACATCTATGGTAAATATTGGAAGACTCATATCTAAGAATTATTTAAGTAAATTATTCACAATAAGAAGTAACAATAAATTATAGTCAAGAAAAAATAAGTCAAAGTTTTATTTAACAACAATCCATTATGTATTAATTGTTACCTGTAAATAATTTTTTTGAGTGCTCTTTGAATGTAATTCTCTTTAAATATTTAAGGTCAGAGATAACTCTTGCCTCTTGCTCTATGCTTAATTTATCTGAATATTTTGTTTAAAATTTAAATAAGGTATACAAAAATAATTAAGCAAAAAAGAAACTTAAAAGAAAGTCAATTGAAGGTAGATCAAATGACGAAGATGAATTGAGGTGTGTGAAAAGGGATAAATGCTTCACGCCAAAAAGAATATGAAAACGTTAAATAGCACTTTAAGAAAGTAACGGTGAACATGGAAAAGCAGGTATGGATAGGCTGCCAGTATAGCTAGCGCTCTTGCTTGTTACATTGAATTTGAACCTCAATTTATATCTATATGACTATATATGACCAGCTATAACTTTTATATTTTACATTTTTGTGTAAGGAATATTTTTTTGAAAGAAAGAAATGTTGAAATTTGACACAAAAAAATTAAGTTTATAAATTATCTTATCTCAGATATTAACGATCTCATAATAATTAATTTTTTATATGAAATATATATAT